GCCTCATGGTTATCGTAGCGTCTGTGGGATTTGATCTGTGTTTTATCAGTCTGTCATATGGGCTGATTCTTCATGCTGTCTTTCGAATACCCTCTTGGGAGGCACGGGGCAAAGCCCTCAGCACATGTGGCTCTCACCTTTGTGTCATTGCTCTCTTTTATTCTCCTGTTGTCTTTTCTGTTCTGGCCCAGATTTTAGGCTATCATATGGCTCCCCATCTACAGATTATCATTGACAATCTCTATTTCCTGGTGCCTCCCATGATCAACCCTTTGATATATGGAGCCCGGACCAAGCAAACGCGGGAGTGGGTGCTTCGGATCCTGCACTGTCGAGGAGACTGAGATAGACAGGGACCTGGGATATGGAGCTGGAAATCATGTTAGGTTGGAGGTAGAGATAAATCATGCCATATTGGGGCTTCATGGGAAAAGGGAAAACTAAAGCAAGAGGAGGACTTAGTGTGGGAATGTAATTGAGACAAGTTCTTTTCATCAGAATATTGTTGTTGGGAAACCCTCATGATCAGAAACCTCTTCAAAGGCTGATGTAAGTAATAACATAGGAAAACACATTGTTTTTAATTTTATTGTTTATCTGATCACATTACATAACATAAATTGGAAGCACATTATTCCAAATGGGGTAACAATGAATTTAGGTATCAAGACCTCTGAGCAAAACTATTTATCCTAAGATTATTTTTATTTAATGATTTTTCTTTCACATTTATGGAATTATATAATATGGAAAGTAATCCTAATGGAAATAAATATGTATTAATGTCCATGCTTATGTCAATAAGTAAAGATCTTTTATGTCTGAAGGGTTTTAATAGAGAAGATTCTTCTTTAGAGAGTTACTATTAGTGTCAAAATCTGGAACCAATATATAGTAGACTGAATTTGATAGGAAAGCATCGGGGGAAGAGGGAGAGAACCTAAATCTACCCTTTCTCTAGCTTCACATTTTTCCTTCTACATACCTATATTTGTTTTCACAAATTTAAGTCACCCAAATCTGTATCTTAAACCATGAATGATGTCTGTCTTCCAGAGAACACATTATAACAGCCTTGTGAACCACTCTTCACATGCATCTTAAGCTTAAGTCTTTCTAAACTAAGCTTTTAATCTCTGTGTCAGCTAGATTACCCCTCTATGTTCCCCGTTTTTGTTCATTTGAATTGAGTTAAATTAAGTTTAAAACCTTGATATTCTTAATTATTTTTATTTTCTTCCCTTCATCCAAACAATCACCAAGATTTCTCTGTACATTTCCACTATGTTTTTTTCTGTCTTGCACTTTATCACTTAGGATTTCTGTACTGTAAAATTCTTCTAACTAATTTTCATATATCCAATTTTTATCATATCAAAGTTGTTATTAACTCTGCAACTGGAGTTGTATTCCCAAATATCTTCTTTTGTCTACTTAAAATCTTCAGCAGCCTAATTCTCAAGATAAAGTCTTAACTTCATAGCATGGCATCCAAGTAATTGCATGACTTAACTCCAGTCTGCATATCCAGGTACTTTATTTTTGCTAAATCACAATATAAGCATCAATTTGGCGAAACGTACTGCTTTATTTGTAAAGATGCTGCACATCCCTTGCTATTTTACCTCATTCTTTGTGCTACTTGGGAGGCATGTTCTCTTGATCTTTCTTAGTCAAAACTCTTCCCATCTCAAGAGACACTTTCTTCAGTTTATTTTCCTTAATGCCTGTCTTCACATGACACCAACCTGTCATTTTCTGTACTGCTAGACACTTTAGGTTTCTTTGACATTTATTTGTGCATGATCTGAAATGAACTTCAGATATTAATCTGCATGCCTTGCCATTCCTTTTACACTGACATTTCTTGAAAGGCATGGGCCATGCCCATAAATTGATTTTTGCACTACACATAAGCAGATCTTAAAATCTTGTCTTAGTTTTTTAAAAATGCTATTAAACACCAGCTCATAAACCAAGGGATATTTGCATGTAAATTATGACCATCTCTCTATCCCCAAAGTTCATATATGACACAGGTGATATTTATTTCATACACCCATACACAAATATACATGCTTTTTATTCCAGATACATACCTCCAATCATCTTATTTGTTTATAAACATCACTCTCTCTTCCTCTCTCTCTAACCACTACCATACTCATGTTTATACATATTTATACATTCACAAAAACATGTGTGCGTACATATATCTGATGTACATATCATTATATCCATAAATATACAAAAACACTATTAACATTTTCACAGTTTGGCTGGACCAATTTTAAGATACATAAATTTACTCAAATACATTAATAACTCCTCTCAGAATGCTACAACTGAAAGGTTCAGAGTTGGATCCTGGTAGCACAGAACTGACTCAAGGCTCAGTGTAATCAAAAAGATATTTATTCAAGGCACCTGGGTGCAGGTTAATTGTGTCTAAGAAAGGAGTCAGTGGTGAATGGGTAGGGAGCAGGCTTTTTATGTACTCAGGGGGAGCTGCAGACGGGGCTTCAGCTGACAGTCCTATCTGGGACCTGGCCCCCAGCTGTAGTTTTACAGCCTTGCCCTTTTTCCTTCTGCTGGCGCCCGCTGTCCTTGCTTCTGGGGGCTGTTTAGGAGTTATGAACTTCAGAAATTTCTGTAAAATAACCACTCAAGGGGAACATGCTTGTGCCAGGCTTAGGCTTGCAGAAGGAGCTTACTTTTGTTAGCCCCTGCTGAGTTAGAACCCTGTTTCTTGATGAACCCTTTCAACAACCACATGCTCTTTATCAGCTTTTAGGGCTCATCTTAGGCAACACTTCCTCCTTCCCTAACCTCCTGCCTCTTTTTATTCTGTATTCTGTGTTACATTCATTTCAATGGTCTCCAATGTCCCCTCTCCTTTGTCAATCATAACACATATCACACAATATGACAATTGCCTATCTGCATATTCTTTTTCTACATTAAAATGAGTATTTTGTTTATACTTGTTTTCATAGTACCTAGAATTTCCATGGCATATAATATAAGTTTAATAAAGATGTGTTGAGTAGGTCAAATAACTTCTCTGGTGAAGCAGCACAAATATAAAAGAATGTGTGAATTTATACATTTGGCTTATGTGCTAAAAATAAAAGAAAGGAAGTAAAGATGACAGGACCAAAAGAAAGGGGGACGAGAAAGGACAGACAGAGAAAGGGAAGAAAGGGGAGGAAGGAGGGAGGAAAAAAGCATTGCGTTTGATTGGCCAACATTCTTCTCTATTGAGGGATACTTTCTTAGTGAAATCTCTTCAACTCCATTTCTGAATATTATGTAGGACATTTTCTTTCAGCTTCAGTGGGCCAGTGTGTTCCCTCAAATACAATTCCCCTTCCCAATCATTATGATTGGCTTTTGCTTTGTAACAAACGAAACATGTGTGGTGTTGATTGGGCTCATTTTATATTCTCACTTTATGTCTTCACATGGTTGCATGACACAAAGGGGCTGTGTCTGGATTCTCAGAAGGCTCTTAAGCATGGACATCATTCACTAGGCTTCTTCACTGACAAGCCGGGTGCTTCAGTACTCCTTCCCTGGGCTCTCCCCCTAAAATTAGCCAGGGTTTCTTACCAGGTGTTTCAAGGCTTCAAAAGATAAAAGCAGAAGCTACGAGGCTAGATATGGTCTGTATCAAATGATTCTTTTTATTTTGAGCTGTCACTGTCCTTTTCAGCTTAACCTGGCAGTATTTTTGAATAATAAGGAATCTTAAAACATGCATACTGGTTTTTCCAGAGGCCAGTTCTTACTTTAAGAGTGTATCAGGTTCAACTGAAGAGTCAGCCTGCTCCACCCAGAGAAGCACACTTTGTGAGAATCCATGGAAATGAGCCTGAGCTACTGGAACCCACTCCCCATAAATTCTTGGCATGATGAGTATAAAAACAAAAACAAAAACAAACCTCTGTACTAATAAAAATGTTTTTCTTAATTGAGTTGAAATGTGGTGTTCCTTCCCCCACAAAAAAATAATTAAAGAAAACTTTGTGTCCTAAAAAAGAAGAGGAGATAATGCCTAGAAAAAAGTAAATGAGAAACCATTTTATGTTCAAACTCAGAAATATCATAAACCTGTATGGTTTTTATGAATCCTACTTGACTCATCTTTTTCTATACATCTTATTAGATGTGGTTCTCTCAACATTTTCTTGAAATGTTCATTAGATATATATTTTTTTATTTTCTGCATTAAAAAAGGTGATAATTTTGTCAATTGTTCCACCACCACAAAGCACAGATCCCTGTATTCTCTGGTACATAGTAACAATGCTGTCACTCTATTTAAAGCAGAGGTTCTCAACCTGTGGGTCGCGACCCCTTAGGCAGTCGAACAACCCTTTCACAGGGGTCGCCTGAGACCATCCTGCATATCAGATATTTATATTACGATTCATAACAGTAGCAATTACCATTCATTACAGTTATGAAGTAGCAACAAAAATAATTTTATGGTTGAGTCACAACATGAGGAACTGTATTTAAAGGGCCAGAAGGTTGAGAACCACTGAGTTAAAGCCTTCATTAACATTGGTACCCTTTAAGCTTCTGTCCATCCACTCTTAAAGTAAACGCTGCAAGCTTTAGACCTTTGTTACTGCAAAATCCAACTCTTCACCATTTGTTCCTTATATTTAAATATTTTTGTGTAATACAACAACCCGACATTTGGTGGCTTTAAACAACAGCTTATGCTTTTTTATTTTATTTTTTTCTCAAAGTTCTGTTGATTGCTTGGCCCCAGCTGTAAAGTTCTCCCTGGGAGTCCTTCAAGCAGTTGCTAATAGTGTTTGAAGAAGAATCCAGGTCTGGATAAAAGGCTTCTTTTCCTCTCAGATGTCAGGCACTGAGTCCTCCTCCACCACTGATTCTTGTACATAGTGCACACGTATACATAGTGCAAGGAGTTTTCATCTTAAACAAATAAATACATATATTTCCTATTTCTTATTATTTTTGAATCACTCTTGGGTGTCAGGCTTCAGAGTACAAATCTGTTCAACCCGCCTGCGAATCTCTTTGGTCTTCACACCATAGACAATGGGGTTAAGGGCAGGGGGCACAAGAAGATAGATGGTAGACAATAGGATATGGACATAGGGTGACACATGTCCAAAACGGTGGCTGAAGAAGGAGAAAAAGGCAAGAATATAAAACTCCAGGAAGACAAAAATATGGGCAGTACAAGTGTTGAATGCTTTAAGTCGTGCCTCTTTCTGGGGAAGATGAAAAACAGCTTGAAAAATTAGAATGTAGGAGATGAAGACAAAGATCACGTCAAATCCCAGAATTGCAAAAGCTACAAAGAGCCCATATGATTTGTTAATATGGACATCTTCTGCAGCCAGCTTGACCACAGCCATGTGCTCACAGTAGGAATGGACAATAACCACAGACTGGAAAAGTTGCAGTCGTTTAAGTAGAATGGGTAAAATCCCAACAAGCACCGTTGCCCGGATTGCCACCATCAGTACCAACTGAACTAGAAAGAAAGGTGTGAGGATGGATGTGTGCCTCAAAGGATTACAGATGGCAACATAGCGGTCAAAGGCCATGGCCAACAGGATGCCAGATTCCATACCCTGCAAGGCATGAATGAAGAAGAGCTGAGTAAGGCAAGCATCAAATGCCATGGAACAAGAGCCAAACCAGAAGATGGCCAACATCTTTGGAGCAATGGCTACACAGAGACCTAGGTCAGTGGCTGCCAGCACTGCCAGGAAGATGTACATGGGCTGGTGAAGACTGCGTTCCATAGGAATGATGATTAACAAGAAAATGTTCCCTAGCAGAGACACTAGGCATAAACCCAAAAAGGGAAATCCAATCCAAAACTGCACATGCTCTAGTCCAGGGATCCCAATCAGGATCACTGTCTTTGGGTTCAGATATGACATGTTGGTCGATTCCATCAGGTTGATAAATCCTTTCCTCACTGACAGCATTACCTATTCAGAGAAAAAATTATGGATAGGAAGAAAGAAGGGAATTTTCCTCAACATTTCTCCTAAAGCATGAAAAACATAATGAAAAGGTGGCCACGTAACTTTGAATCTTTGGGAATCCATTTAAGTCAGTATCAGAATAGAATGCTTGGATATCTTTTTCCAAAGTCAATGTGGGTGTTTGTGGGTGAGGAAGGTAAATACAGTGTTTATCACCTAGAAATTGTAGAAATGTTAATTATGATTCTAGCAGCATTGATCTTGCTGGTTAATGAAGTGTTCTCAGGTGGTATCACAGATGACTACCTTTTTTTTTTTCTTTTTTCTTTTTGTCTATATCCACCTCCTAACTTCAGACACACTTCAGATTAGGCAAAATTTCTCTGTGACACTTAAAATGGTGAACTAGGTCCATAATTTCATAGCCTTGTTCATTTTGTTCAAAGCTCAGATCCCCAGATAGTGGCAGCCTTTCCAAATCTTTCCATTTTCCCTAGAATAGGAATCAAAATACCTCCCCACAAATTTAACAAATTGACTCTCAGATGAGGGAGTGAAGAAGTTTGTTCTTTCAGCAAATATTGGTTGATATGCCTATGTGCAGGCTCATTATCCCGGTTCTTGGAAGTGATCTGGAGTTAGTTTTATCCATAGTAGAGGAGCATATTTGATTTAGTAAGATAATTACGGTTTGCTCAATTTAACAGTGGTTGTGTAACAGAAGGGGGTAGAAGGTGATGTAAGTACTCAAAGATCTTATATGAGACAAAAAATTGAGAAGATAGGAAAAAAGTCAGTTGAGTTAAAGGCACAATCAATTAGGATAGAATAATAACATATATAAACTGACCTATTGGCTAAACCCTGTAGCTTAAATATATTGATGATATTAATGTGTTTCAGATACAAAAGGGTAGGGTTGGCTATGGGCCATGCTACTATTTATAATGAAGTTCAACATAACCAAGGTGCTTTCTTTCATTTTAATGCTATGAGTTGGCAATAAAAATAAATTGAAATGAAATTTCTTATTATATCGTTTCACTTCATACTCACTTCAAACTTCTGATATTTTTATAACATTTCAACTTTTTCCTTAGAAATCTATTCACTAACGCTTAAGAAACTTTATATACCCCTTTTTCTTTTTCATTAACCATTCTACAAGCTTAACATCATTCAAAAGTTTTATCTTCTTTATGATTTTGTTGTAGCCAAATACATTGAATAGGGAGTACCACTGTAAATGGGACTTTGTATATTTTTCTTTAAAGGGAAACTAGAGGGATTACTGCTGTAAAATTATAGAAAAAAATTAACAGGTTCACAGTCAGTAGGAATATATACACTTGGGTATAACTTTAATGTCCCCAATGTAATAAAATACTTTAAAAGTTGATGAAGAGAAGGAGATTTTGTTATGTGAGCTTTAGTAGCTGCATTCATCAATAAACTATATCTAAGGCAATAAAGAGATATATACTAAAACAATTAGAAATTTTGTGAAAAGAAATTTCCTTTGCTGACCATATAAAATGAGATTAGGAAAGGTGGTTTCTCTAGAAGTGACGGTAATAAATATAGATATATCTTGTTATTGTGACATGAACAGACAAAGGTCATAGCTTTGATATATAAAAGATGATATGTCCTACATGATTATTTATAAATTGTCTGACAATGTAAGAATAAAAGTAAAATTTAGCTCCAAGTACACAATTACAGATGATAATGAATTCATCAAATTACTTTTCTTCTATATAGTATAGTTTGTGTATTATATAACATATAAATTAATATTAATTATATAATATATGTATATGTTATATAATATAAAGTATATAACATACTATTTTATATAAGTATATAATATAAAATATATAACATTATTTATATAAATATATAATATATCACCTTATATATGTATATATGTATATATGTATATATGTATATATGTATATATGTATATATGTATATATGTATACATGTATATATGTACATATCATATATATGTATGTAATTTTTTGTATATTGTTGTTTTTGACATCTTAAAACACCTTTCTCCCTGGGGAGAGACTGCCCCTCCCTATCTGGGCTAGAAGATTCTTAGAGATAGCAAAGGTCCCAGCCAGGAGCATAGCTGTGCAGTGCAAACAAACCAATCCATACCCCCTTTATCTGTCCATGCACTCCAGGAGGCAGTAGTCATCTGTCTTAATCATTCTAGGTACCAGGCAAGTAGAAGCCACTCCTATACTCAAAGTCCATCCAAATTATTCAGACTAGCTAATCCTAAAGTGTTCACCCTTCTCTACCTTGCCTTTGCTGTGGACACCCTAGGAAAGGCCTTGGCTTAAGCACTTTAACCCCCCCACCCCCATCTCCTCCTTGTGTCTCAACCCCCACCCCCATCACCCTATCACCTTGGTGGTTTTTATTTGCTCCTGCAATGCCTGCTATGCCTCCTGTCTTTAGGACCTGTTGGTTTAATGACCTTATTTTCCTAAGCCTTTCCTCTGTCTTTTCTTGTGGCTGCATCTGACTGATTTCCCATAAAAAACAAACCAACCAACCAACAACAAAAAGCCAGTATTTAAAATCATGGGATAGGAATTTAGAAATATAATTTAATGCTGGATCTACGCATTTATCTCACATGGAATCTTGTTCACATTTTTTTAGCCTACGTAACTATACATGGGAATAATAATATCAATTAATTCATTGAATTATTGGAAGGGCTAAATAAGTTTATACATGAAAAATTCAGTGCAAAGTATGGAAGAAAGTATTTACTTAATTTTTGGTAGCTAGTGTTTGTCAGAACTTTTAGATAACTTTTGTGGAGACAGAGACACATTACTACCTTCTTAAGGACATCTAAAACAAAATTCAGAAATGAGGAAACTTTCTGAAGAAAAGATCAAAAATCCATGAGATGATGAAAATTCCGGAACAGAATAACTGTCCTCAATTTGATCTATATGACTGGACATTCATGTAGCAGATGAAACGACCTCTAGTGATGTGGAGACCTTGGTAGAGCAACATACTAGTATTTCACTTATTTAAATTGATTTAGCCACTTCACCTGAAAAATAATCATATTCCCCGTAAAAGTCTTACTTGGTAGATGGAAAACATGTAAATAGGGAAAGTAGTTTTCTGAAAGTGTTTAGATTTTTAAAAATAGCTTCTAAGACATCCAAAGCATGCATTTTATGCAACTTGTCTTTCTATGGTAATCAGATCAGCAAGTGTTATTGCTGGACTCCTTGAAAGAGAAAGTAAAAGGAATAAAAAGAAATCTTAAGTGGAGATAGATACAGGGTAAAGTAAGAAACAAGAGACAAAAGAAAAAGAAAAAAACACAGACAGAAAAACAAACAAATGATGTTTTAATGCCCTAAATAAAGAATAGACTGTATTTCAGGGGACAAGATCTGAGTTGTAGTTATAGCAACAACAAGACCAGACACCAAAGCTCTTTAAATAACAGGATGCTTCTAGCTTTGACTTATATTTTTTAAAGTTCTCCTGCTCAAACTGCAAACACACACACTTTCCAAACCACAAGATCATCTCCTCTTATTTTTAATAAACTAAGCAATATTAGAGCTACTTTGTAGGAAAACTTTAGAAAAGGAAGCTGAAACCTTATTTTCATCTTGCTCTGCCACTAATTAACTGGAATGTTCCAGTTCTGAGTTTTCTTCAAATATAATTAAGAAGATAGTAATAGATCATCTTTGCATCTCTTCTATCGCTAAATGACATGAGTATAATCTATCTTCTTATAACTTGCATAAGAAGGAAAAAGGTGACATGCCAAAGGAAAGTTTGTGACTGAGAGATGCAGGATCAAGATTATTTAATTCACTGCACTTTCCACTTCTGTCAAAATTTGCTGCAATTAGCTTGGCCAGTGTGGGTCAGTAGTTGAGTGTCAACCTATGAACCAGGAGGTCACGTTTCAATGCCTGGTCAGAGCACATGCCGGGGTGTGGGCTCAATCTCCAGTGTGGGGCCTGCAGGAGGCAGCCAGTCAATGATTCACTCTCATCATTGATTGCTCTATCTCTCTTTCCCTCTCCCTTCCTCTCTGAAATCAATAAAAATATATTTTTAAAAATTTGCTGCATTTAGAAACTATGAGCAGTACACAGGCCCCAATTCATGGAGAAGAAACTTACCCAGAAAAACAGATAGCTGGCTAGAATGTAGAATCAGTGGATGGAAGAGCCCTTTTCTGCCAGGCTTTGGATTCTGAAAGGTATTAGCTACTAAGTGTCTTTCATGGACTGTCATTAGCTGTTGCTTTTCTTGGCTTTAGGATCTTAATGATCCCAGTGCAATTTTCAAACCTTGCCCTAGAGAGGTCATTACACTGCTGAAACCCAGCTCTCTTTTATGGGAAAAAGAAAACCCTTGCTTGAGGGCAGGTAGCCAGGAAATACTTAGTACCTCTGAGTTGATTCCAAGAAATAAGAACCAAGAAATCTCAAATTATGGGTCACTTTCAGATATATATATATATTTATGTAATTTTTTTTGTATATTGTGGTTTTTGACATCTTAAAACACCTTTCTCCCTGGGGAGAGACTGCCCCTCCCTATCTGGGCTAGAAGATTCTTAGAGATAGCAAAGGTCCCAGCCAGGAGCATAGCTGTGCAGTGCAAACAAACCAATCCATACCCCCTTTATCTGTCCATGCACTCCAGGAGGCAGTAGTCATCTGTCTTAATCATTCTAGGTACCAGGCAAGTAGAAGCCACTCCTATACTCAAGGTCCATCCAAATTATTCAGACTAGCTAATCCTAAAGTGTTCACCCTTCTCTACCTTGCCTTTGCTGTGGACACCCTAGGAAAGGCCTTGGCTTAAGCACTTTAACTCCCCCACCCCCATCTCCTACTTGTGTCTCAACCCCCATCCCCATCACCTTATCACCATGGGTAGTCACCATG